TCCAGTGGATGATGATCTGATTAGTCGACTAATCGCATAAATAATCGGTGACTAGTCGACTATCAAAATAATCGTTTGTGGCAGCCCTAATATCAACAACATTACATTCCTGCAAATAAATTGCACCAGTTAACAGTATAAACCTAGGCTAGGCTAATTACACCAGCACAAATCCCCGTTATGAACACACATTTATGACCCTTCTCTAACATTTAAGTATGAAAATGAAGCCGACAGCACAAAGCAAAGTTAAAAACTGGCACAAAAACACTTTAAAGCAATCATCACAGTGATTCTACTGAAGAAACATGAAAAGGTAGAAATGGAGATCACCGTTTTCCTACTCTGACAGGCAAACTTGAGTCAGCTGATTGTAGTGCAAGTAAAAAAATGGAACCAATAAACGGGATCGACAGGAAAACAGACTAACAAGTCTATGGAACTGGACTACTGAGAACCAGTTCTCGATTCCCATCCCCAATAATAGATATTGATTTGTAAACTCGCCACAACTTGACTCGGATCAACTGGTTTTTCATTGGGTCTTGAAGTTTGGACCCGGAAACTGCTAATAACGTCAAACTCCACTTCTGGTCACAAAGTCAAACAAACACTGTAGCATCACAGAGTTACAAACTGTCTCAATTCTTTCATCTTTAATAAAATGATCAGTGTGGCTCCCCTAGCAGGTGTAAAAATTAAGTTTAATTTATGAAGTCTAATGGAGTTTGAAGTTAGCAGTAAGTTAGCTCGCTAGTTTCTATCTAAAGCAGGGGTGTCAAACTCAAATACACAGTGGGCCAAAATTCAAAACTGGAACAAGGTCGTGGGCTAACATTGATGTTTATTGAAGAAAAAACAAAAAACAAAAAACCTTCCTCCAGATTTAAGAATGAATCTCTTCTTATGGACTCAAACAAGTTTTGCTGAAAAACTGAATATGGAACAAGCAAAGCTTAAATACTAAACAATATACATATTAGCTGTATAATAACAGTAGGCCAGCTCTAATAATAATTTGGTATGGCTTTGCGGGCCAAATGTCATTAGGCTGCAGGCCAAAATTGGCCCTGTGGGCCAGAGTTTGACACCTATGATCTAAAGATTATATACCATGTTCTGACTGAGGGATTTCTGAAAAATTAAACTATTATTTCTGTCATTTATGTTGAAAAACTAAACAGTAGTGAGGTTTGTAGTGTTACTGAAGTCAACTACCTAGCATACAATGATGTGCTACGTGGTTGCTAGGTACGCAGCTATGGTTAACATAATATAAACACAGTGAAGCTGGAGGATGACTGCTAACTTTTTTTCACTCCATAAAAGTTAACATGACCATTCCCAATGGTTAGGGACAAATGCAATCGCATGGCAGGATGCAGTAAACGGGTCAAACTTTAGTCAGATGAACAACTGAGAATCCAACCACAATATGATGTTAGTCATTAATATACTGCTGCATGGGCAAAGGTTTTTAAATGTGCTGCGATTCAAAGTGGTAATAAAAACTAGCAGAAACCCAAGCGCATTGCTGCCCCAGACAGGTCAGGAGTGCAAATTGAACATCATTTTTTCTGTTTAAATTTAAACCTGCCATGGTGGCTTGTCTATTGCTCAAATTTACAAGCCACTTCATAAATTTACCTGCATTTGCCCAGTGGTGGGTGTCAATTTCCACCCCTGAATACAATGCATTTTTGGGGTCAATCTTTAAAAAAAGAAGAGAAAAAAGGCAGATGTGAAATATAAAAATGAAATCAGAGGTCAAACGTGTTGGATCAAAACTACATGCTATTTAGAATCACTATTTACCAGTATAATTTTCTAAATGTTGCCAAATACAAACAGAAGTAGAATTTTAAGCATAGTTTTAAAGATGAAGCATTTTATGAAAGGTTGACATATTGAAAATTTGACCTTATTTGACCTTGAAGAAGCAGTCAAAGGTCCAAAGTAACATATTTGGAAACTTCATGTTTTCGAGGTGTCCCTTTCTGCAAAGATTTCAGTCAGAACTCTCATACCTTGTTCAATGTAACTGAAAGGGATAATGCTCCGAGTGTTGATAGCTTTGTTTTGGATGCAAGGTTTTTGACTAATTCTGTCCTTTTAAAAAGAACTTAATGGCATTCACAGCTTGGCCAGAAAGCTAATGCTGATAAAGTGGCAATCCTCAGCATCACCTACCTACTTATACAAGGTGGAATAGGGGGTCCTTTATTTTATTAAATTTCGGGTTAAAAGTGCAAATCACTCAAATCATTACCAAGACTGCCTATGGATATAGACAATGGAATGGAGCAAACGTTAGCCACCTCTGCTACCTGGATACATGCATGGAACTTGCATGAAACCCAGTAACAAGGTGGGTTGCACAGTATACAGGAACATGTGTGCAGAGTGTGGCCTGGAAGTCCCAAGATCAAAATGGAATATGCCCCTCAGGGTGGTTGAAAATGACCAAGCTAAAATCCTGTGGGATTTCTAGATACACACAGACAAACTGGCGATGGCTAACCAACCAGATATATTACTAGTGGACAAGCAGAGTAATAAAGCCATAGTAGTACATGTAGCTATACCAAATGAAAGCAAAAATCAAGAAAAAGAAATACGTAAAGCTTGAGAAATGCCAAGGGCTCAGAGGGGAGCTAGAGAATAAACGAAGGATAAAGGCAACAGTGGTCCCAGTGGCATTCAGAGCACTTACAGCAGTGACTCCCAAACTGGGCGAGCGGTTCCAGCAGGTCCCAGGAGTAACATTCAAGATCTGTCCAGAAAGGACCAGCAAAGATGCTACACATGAAGCTCCCAGGCTTTATGTGTAGCTTGTATGTGTTGCTGTTAAATCCAAGGGCAACACACTCACCATATAAAGGTCACAACGGAAGCAACAAGCTGTCAAATGAAGAGCTGTCCTTACAGGTCAGACAAGTCTTTATTGGTTCCTTTCTTGGCCTTATAGTCAAGACTGTCTATAAACTGTAAAATCGCCTCTTACTGTGACCTTGGCTGTTCAAATAGGAATGATAAAACTATTTTACATGTTATAACCCTTACATCATGCCAGCACAGACAGACTGGTGTAAAATTCTTATGTAGCCTCAAAAGACCTTCATGCCAACAAGTTCAGTGTCACTTAATTCCCACCTGTTTGCGTTTAAACTTTATTCTTCATGTCATACATTTTCCAATATCCCTTTAATCATCATCATGCCTGTTAAATGAACCTTGGGACTCACTGTCATCACTAAGAAAAATTAACAATGAACATGACAGTTTTTACATAAATGAAAACCAAATTATTTTATGTAAACAAACGTGAGTTACAAAGCGAATTACAGACAGATCGGGATATTAATACAGTAGGCTGTCAAGTCTTGCATGCCCTGTGGCCAAAAGTCAAGACCATACAGGAGCCATGCTGCTACCAACAACTTTAAACTTAGGTGGCGTTGATCGTTGCTACAGACACATACGAGTCCAGTTTACATGTGACCAAAGCCCCAGTGGTGTACAGAAGGTGCGCCTCAACACCCCAGCTGTCTTTCAGCAACGACTCAATAAATGCTAAAAGCGTTCAGCTAGCTATGTCTTAATACTACAACTGCGGGACATTGTGTAGTTCCCAATAATGATAGTGGTGATGCTTTCTGTCCCACAAAAAATAATAATAATAATAAAATCAAAACAAAAGCGTGGCGTGTGGTCATTCACGCCATCGTCAAACACCGGCTAACACAATTAGCTAGCTAGGAAGTACAAAGGCCACAATGTGAACCTTCATATATAATTCTCGAAGTTTAACGTTACATGACTATATGGTAAGGAAAAATTAATTCGTTGTGATACCAAAATACCACTTTCACTTGTGACTCAAGCGATTCATTTTGTCTTTATAAGGTTATCCCTCTCAGTTCTTTGCATTAGCCAACTAAAACCTAAACAACCTTCGAAAGAAGCGCAAAAATATATGCTTAGACTCGCAGGCAGCAATTTATAACAACTTTAGCTTACGATACGCTGACAGGTCCTTTTTAATGCCGAATTTTTCAGATTCTACAAAATATCCAACAACGAAGTTGTGCCCCGTACTAAACTGAACAACCTGCAGCCAGTAAGATGTCAAATCCCATATAACAAATGCATATAGGGGAGTTTGGCACCGTCTGGGATGAAACCGTGTAGCAGAGATGGCTGTGACCTAATGCAAACACGAAATACAGCATGGCTGTTTAAGGAGGCCGCAGTGCAGGATACAAAGCATGAAGTTAGCTACCTAGCAACCACAGTGGCTTTGATGTTTATGAAAATTAACGCTAGCTAAACATGAAAAAATATAAGCTAATGGCACGTTCCCTCCACTGTATTATTTTTAGACTATGTTGGTAGGTGGCTACATTATTAAAGCCACTTCAGAGTTTCATATCCCCGAATTACAGACGTACTGGGCCACAACATAAAGCTGTGTGATACATAGTCGTTAACTATACCCAACTGCACCAACGACGGGGAATCTGTAATCGATGCAGGGGTAAAGGACATTTGAAGCCAAAGACTGTCAATGCCCCGCATGGGCCTTAGACCTTCATGCTAGCCTGCTAGCCGGCCTGGCGACAATGACTGCCAACTGTGGGCCAAAATGCATTTATTATTATCCGAGAAGCAATGCTCCTACGTTGGCACGTGCACGCTCAACAAAACGAAGCAAGTGCGGAAATTTAACTTCTACAACAGAAGCTACATGTGCTGTTCTGAATGGCAAGTTAGGAGGAGTTGCTTTGTAGGCTAGTTTTTCAATGACATGGGATCACATGGTGGCACAATAAACATTTGACGACCCACAGAGAACAGTAGAAATGCCAGTGAATGTTTTTTCCCCTGAAATATACTCACATAAATGTCAATGAAACTGAATCATGCAACCATGTACGCATTAAATAGAAAACTAAAAGCTAACAGTCTCTTTCAGTGTGCCACTTCCTTCACGGACTAATTATTTTACTTACAATGTTTTTGGGTCCTCGGTACCGCAACGATGATAGCAACACTAACAACGTGAGCTTTTTGAAACGTACACTAGTGGAAAGTCACACTCTCCTCCCCACGTGTTTGACAGACCAGTACCAGTCTTAAAAAAAAGAGAGAGGGAAAAAAAACACGCAGACATAACAGCTGATCAATTCTCGCGATACTCTAAAGTTTAAGCCGCTTGGAGTCCTGCGTCAACTGAGAATGCAGTAAAGGTAAACGTTTCTTCTGTTAAGCTCATGCAGTTTCATAGGTAGATTTCACATCATCCTGGTCACTTTTACTATAAAAAATGGGGGGGGGGGGAAAGAACATTCGAGTACAGATGGGACAAAGCACCGCGTTCATATAATTTTACTATATAAATGAATGCCATCACATTAAGGCAAAGGTCACGTTAGAAATAGCACAATATTACAACCGGAAGGATTTGCACCTTGTGTGATAAGTAAAATTAAATTGGGGCATGTCTTTGTAATACAATTTTCTGCTGGACAACCTTGAGTCATGGCATTTATTTATTTATTCATGTCACTTTACATGGTTGCAGACCAAGAACTTTACAGCTCCAACAGGACAATGTCCCCCCCCCCCCCCCCCCCCCCACACACCACACACAGCAAAGCTGCTCAGAAACAGTTCTCAAGGCATTGACCCGGCCTTAAAATGTCCCAAATCCCCTTCCAATCAAAGACAACATTACCTGGGCATTATGCATTAAAGTTAATGATCAAAAATGCAGATCTCTCTGTTATTCAAACTGAGAGAGAGAGAGAGAGAGAGAGAGAGAGAGAGAGAGAGAGTCGTTGTGCTCAAATCAACTGCCCTTACTCAGACACACCTGACCAGTCGCACAACACTGCTTTTCAAAGTAAGCCAAACACTGAGCACTCACAGAGTCCAAACCTCTCTGGTACCTCACTATCTGGGCAGTATTTACTTTTAAGGCATTAGTACTTTATTGTGAATATAATCATTTGGTTTTCTTTGTTTGTTTGTTTGTTTGTTTTTAACATATTGTATTTTATGTTTGTAGTGCAGTAAAAACAAGTACAAAGGCTTTTGTTATATACCCTGTTGAAACACATTTATACTTGACATAAGTTTTTTTTTTTTTTGTGTCCCGTTTGGATCTTTAGCCATCAGAATTGTTGTCTTAAGGCCAAGAAAGATGCCAAGCAGATTTATTTTACCAAGTGGATCATCATGGCCTTGCCATATTGGTCCATTTGATTGACCTTTATTATAATTATGAATTTATTTTATTTTCAGTTGCTACAAACGGGACAGACATGACTGGGGGATAGGACAGGGAGAAAGAATGAAAGAAAGAGAGGGAGAGAAAGAAAACCAAAGGGGAGAAGAGACGGTGAGAAGGGGGGGAAGAAAGAAAAAAAAAACAAACAAAACACCTGGGTCACCTGTATGGAGAAAAAAAACAGAAGAGAAAGCAAACAACAAAGAGCAACATAATAAAAAACAGCACCATCACAATAAACTAGCTAGCAGTAGATATCAGTAGATACTAAATAATAAACGATATTGTGCAGCATGCAAGATAGACAGCGCACAATGTGCTTTGAGGCAGCAGCCAAGAAAGCTGTAGTCCGCGTCTGTGAACACCCGTGTGTACACCTGTGTGCATACCTGTGTGGATCAGCATGCTTGTATTCCAAAGGTTTCTCCATGTAACGATCTGCTAGGGAGTGTGGGGAGCCATAGCCCCGTCCTCCAGGGTATGAAGCAGGTATGGAGGAGATCCAGGCCCCAGATATCCAGAGGCCCCAGAGTACAAGGACCCGAGGAGGACCACCAAAGGGGGGAACCGTGCCACCCTCCTGGGAAGAGCTGAGTAGAGCCCCAAAGGAGAGGTCACCCCGCAGCTACGGAGCAGAGGCCAGAGGGGGTTGCAGTGGCGTGCCCGCGGGCTCTGCCGGCAGCCAGCTGTGCCAGAGAGGACCGAGCTTCAGGCCCAGAGGCCTGAGGGCATCCCACCCCCCGGAAGGAGCCACAGGCGCCCGGCCCCGCCAATCGGCCACCAGGAGTGAGCCGGTACATACATGAGCGCCCAGCCCCAGACGACAAGGACCACCAACACACCAACGTCTGAAGGGCATCAGCCACCGGCAGGGAGTGTGGTGAGGGGAGATAGGCCTCCGTACTTTAGAGGGCCTGAGATGTACCCAGAGAGGTTGAGTCTAAGACCCAACCTGACATATAGACACAGACGAACAGGCACACGGACACAGACGTGCATTCCCACCCCATATGCACAACCAAATACTCGGCACTCACCCAACGTGTAGACAGACACAAATAGACACTGCACAGACAGTCGCACTCCCCAAACATACTCTATATCCCAGGTCCAGGTACCCCCGCCCTCAGAGGGGCAAGCCGCACCTAGACCCAGGAGATGTAACCCTTCTCTCTGGGGTGGAGGCAAGCGGACCACCTCCTTATCTGCAGTAGCAGGGAGGCCCCGCATCCCAGACCCCAGTCTGACGGCCAGCACCTCCTCCCAGCCCCCCAGCCCTGACGGCTAACAGAACCGGGGTGAGTGAAGACCTCAAACCTCCCCACGCCGCTCATATGTAGTGTTGCTGTGTGCTGTTCTAAAGTGCATTTAAAAATCAGGAGAGTTTTACTTGACATAAGTTTAAGTATAATTATTTTGTGTTCATTTCATTGTTTAGTAAAGTTTATTTACATGTTTAGTAATACATTGAACACAGGTTTTAATCACAAGATTATTTCTTTTTCTAAAAAATACGAAACAAACTTTTCACAAAAAGTAAGGTTATTTGTCATTGGCAGACGACTTTGCAAGTTTTCGTGGATACAACCCACATCCACAACGCTGCTGCTCAACCCACAAATGCATTTACCTTACAATTGTGGCACCAGTCAAGGAGAAAGAAACAGGCTTTCCAGTGGTTTAAGATTATAAATTGGGAGAATATCTCTTAACTGTCATAGATCCCAACTGAGTGAACAAAAACAGCCAATCAAACAAAGAATATAAAAAATCAGGAGATGCTTTTTGTCCTAAAATGCAAATCATTCAGCAAAGTAAGAGACACTTTAACCTGGTCAGTTCTGTAATTCCAAATTTCAGTCAGCTGAATGACATCTCAAAATTAAAATAAGTTTTACTAACAGACTGCTTAAATAAATTACAAGAAATCTTTCCCGACAGAGTATGGGTTATGTTAATACTGACCTGCAAGCTCATTAGAATTGCACAATCTCTGTTTTTGCCTTATTGAAACATGCAAATGTATATGTATGTACATTACGTACATACATATACATTTGCATGTTTCAATAAATCACTATACCCATTTTCCATTTTTCCTGCTAAAAGTATTGAGAAAATGAGTGGTGACCCAACCTCCTGGACAGTACTCAAAAGAGTCACAGAATAAAATTTGACAGCCAAATGTTCACTTTTTAAAATGCAGAGCCGTTCAGCATAAATTGCTATTCAGAATATCAACCAACTTGTCAAGCACAAGAAATGTACATTCTCTGCATTTAAAAGATTTTGTTGTTTTTTGACAACAAGTGATGGTAGCTCAATGAATAAGACACAGTATAATTGTTTGTGCATGATTTTTCACAAACATTTGACATTTTGACACCCTGGGTTAACTTAGAGAGTTAATAACTAGCTTTGTGCGGCCACTTATTGTGTGTTAGTTGCCTCTTTCAATCATCAGATGACAAAATGGTGATTTTATACAGGAGAAGCTGAAGACGTGGAGGCATGTAGGACTGCAACTCTGCTTCCGGGTCCCAACTCTGGATAAAGTAAAAGAGACGGACAAGACACTAACACCTATAAAAGAGAGGAAACAAGTGAAGTAGCTGGAATGTTGGAGTGTTTCTTCAGTTTAACTATAACAAGTGGACTGATTTGGATAACACATGTTGGATTTGATAAATTTTATAGGAGGACAGGAAAAGTGGTGTGAATGTGAAAACCTGCACACCACTCCTCTTGACCTGTACAGGTTCAGTAAGGCAGAAACTTTTGGGCTACCTCTTGGTCTCCTGTATCTCCCAAGAGGTTCATTAAAGCATTGATAAACCCCCAACAAGACGACACCACTGCCATCATCGATACAGGCTGAAATATAGGTTCAAATTCAGAAAGCTTTAAAGAATGTGGTTACATCGGCTAATGATTGGGGCTTTAAAATATCTATTGATAAAAATAAGTGTATGATAACTGGACATAAAAGGAAGGGACCAACTAAACATCTGCAAGTCTACGGAAAGGACCTTGAGAGAGTCAAGCAGTTCAAATTGATCAAGAAGCTGGATATAATTTGGTCGAAAACTCTGCACCACTCCAATATTGTCCTTTTAATAGAAATGTGTGAAATGCGTTTGAAAATGAGAAAATATAGGCTTGGGCTGAAGTATTTAATAAAAAGAAAAGGACAAAATGTAATAGTTCTGGTTAAAACTGGGCTAGCACTGGGAATTCTTGGGATCAGCAAAGAAAGTCAAAATCAACTTTAATGAGGAGTTGAAATCCATCACATGAAAAAATTGGCTTTGTTGACATGGATGTGTGTTCTCCTGTCTGTTGGTCAGGTATACCATCATGGCTGATTCTAGGTCCATACTCAACAAGAACAGGAAAAAGAACTCAGTAGATATCGTAAAAATAACCTACTCTAGGATGGAACACCTTTGGATTGGCTATTTACAAGTTTATACAGATGGGTCAAAGGTCATGTAAGTAGCAGAGTGGCTTGTAGTGTGTACATACTGAAAACAGAGTTTTATAAAAAGCTTGTGTATATCAGATCAGTTTTATGGGCTCTCTGGTGGGTTGAGGACCAAAGGCACGATACTGCATCATATATACAGTGATTCAGCTGCAGGTTTTTTAGCATTTAAGGAGCAGAACCAGACCTGACCTGACTCTAGAGACACCTCGATGTAATGCAGCAGCATG